AATGCTATAGACAGTCTATTCATGGATATGACCCTGAAGAGGGAAGTAAAATCAATATTCTACATTAGTGTTTAAGCCCTGATTTCTTGAATAATTTCGTAGCATTTCGACAGTTTATTATCAGTAGTTAAGGGGGGGGGGGGAGGAAGAGGTCTGGATTGAATCTGACCCTCCCAGGTCGCGCACAACGACTCAGACCAGACTTCTAGTTAAATTTTAAACGGTTTTTTGCGATCGTTGTAGACGGTTTCTGAAGAAGTTGTAAGGTGGAATACTGAACTTTAAACAAGTTTTTAACAGAAGAAAGAAGTCATTTGTGTATATTTTAGTGTGTTTTTGTTGCTACCGAGTTTCTGGTGACTCATTGTTTTCGTCTTTTATCGTATCCTTACTACTGTGGGCCATGTGATAACACACTGTTGCCAGGGCGGACTGTTTCCACCACACATGACATATTTATGATGTTCGATTATACGCGTGAAAGGTGGGCGTTCACGAAGTGTTTTCTGTGAAACCATCCCAAGTGCCGGACCGGCTGTGGAGCGGACAGAGTATGCTCTGCTTGTCATGTTCACTAACAGCTGTTATATTACTTCCACGTGAATTACAGCACGTGAAGCGATGGTAGTCTCCACACTCGTTCTCTTCTTGTTTTCTTTACTTCCATTTGTTGCAAAAAGGAAAGAAAGAAAAATAGAATGATCGGAAGACATTTATTTTTGTTTTCTTTGTGATGTAACAGTAAATTATCCATTATTGTTTGAAATATTCTCATTCAGAAGAGCGTTTTATCTGTTTTTATCTTTCCTTTCTTAATAACTGATTATTAGTAATTTACAAAATATTCGCGAGAGGACGCTAAATAGTATGATACTTATATTCACAGGTGGAGAAAGGAAAGATTACCTGGCGGTGGGGGGCTTACGTGCGTGGCAGACATGAACATAGTAATTATAAGGGGGTAAAACGCGGATATGTAGTATATGGCAGACTTAAAATTATTAAGGGGTAGTACCCTCCCCCGCCCCCACTAGGCGTAGACGTTTCCACCACTTCCCCCTGGTTCCTCCGCCTGTATTTTATTAATAATTAACCAGTGCAAAAATATAATAAATAAATAATAACGTGTTGCTAGTACGTACCCTAATAATCCGATGTGTAAATAATTCAAATAAAATCAATAATAATTACAATTCATTTACTTGATTTGTTCACACCAAAACAGCTGTTTTTCATGTAAGTTAATAAACAATTCATTTACTTGATTTGTTCACACCAAAACAGCTGTTGTTCATGTAAGTTAATAAACAATTCATTTACTTGATTTGTTCACACCAAAACAGCTGTTGTTGATGTAAGTTAATAAACAATTCATTTACTTGATTTGTTCACACCAACACAGCTGTTGTTCATGTAAGTTAATAAACAATTCATTTACTTGATTTGTTCACACCAAAACAGCTGTTGCTCATGTAAGTTAATAAACAATTCATTTACTTGATTTGTTCACACCAAAACAGCTGTTGTTCATGTAAGTTAATAAACAATTAATTTACTTGATTTGTTCACACCAAAACAGCGTGTTGTTCATGTAAGTTAATAAACAATTCAATTTACTGATTTGTTCACACCAAAACAGCTGTGTTCATGTAAGT